GTCGGGATGACTTTCAGCTGCCGCTACTAAGGTACTGTTGATAAAAAAACACGACGACGTTATTGTAATCGAGTGAGTGAGTGAGTTATTATTTAACGTCACATCGGCAATATTTCAGCCATATCGCAATCGACGACTCACCACAAGCCACATAGACAGTACAGCACTCATCTCTCACGGGCAATCAACTGGACTGGACACCTGATAATAAGCGTTTTAGGTTCATCATCTGACGCGAGAATTGACGTCTTTTTGAAGCAGGCCCAGATGACTGCCAACCACTACTCACCGATGTGGTTGAGCCTTCATCGAGTATTGTGTCATTCATTCACTATTATCACCCAGACTAAAGAAAAACCTTTTCCACCCTGCTGCTGGACTGCCTCCGTGGTGTAGTGGTTAGAGCGTCCGCCCGGAGAGCGGAAGGTCGCGGGTTTGATCCCCGGCCGCGTCATACCAAAAGACGTTAAAATATGGTACTTGTTGGTCCCTGCCTGGCGCTCGGCATTAATGGGTACAACAAGGACTGGTCGGCTCGGAGTCAGTATAATGTGTCTGAGTGGGGTATTCATGCTTCACTGCGGCATGGTATCTCAGTGGGCTAGCACTATAAAACCAGCTTAAGTCTGGGCTAGTACAAGCAGCCGCACCTACACATACACACGCATGCACGTCGCCATATGAGCGAAATATTCTCAAGCACGACGTTAAACCCAATTTCACCTCACCTCACCTCACCTCACCTCACCTCACCTCACCTCACCTCACCTCACCTCACGTCAGAACTGGTCATCTTCCAGAAGGCGTTTAAAGAACCAATAAACTTTGTTTTTTGTTAACCATTACATATGAAAGATTTGTGGTTAGTCTTATGCGGAACACCAAATTTATTCTTTAAAAACCGGAACGGCAATTAGAGGTGATGAAGGAAAACCAAGTTCTATGGATAGTCAACTTCTTTATTGCAATGAGTGCGACGTTTCGGCGTAGGTCTTAACGCCGTTGTAGATGATCACTTGCTTGATAACAGTGTTCGTACCTACACCGAAACGTCGCACTCATTGCAATAAAGAAGTTGACTATCCATAGAACCTGGTTTCCCTTCATCTCTACAACTTCTATAATGCCCCCAAAGGAAGGTATTTAGAGGTGGTACACATAAAGGGGGGAATATGTGGATGTCGGCTTCTCTATTATGAGGAACACTTCATCAGGTGAGAATATATTTATTTAGAGGTGGTACACATAAAGGGGACAATATGTGGATGTCGGCTTCTCTGTTATGAGGAACAATTCATCAGGTGAGACTATATTTCAACTCGTCGTGTTGTTTATTATACCAAGCTGACTCTCATAACCCTTCCATCACATGGTCCCCCCATCACACACACTACCGCCACCTGAACCCTTTCTTACTGTCATTCGACCCGTGAAGATCCTTTCGAGAATGGATCTTCAGTAACCCATGCTTGTCGTAAAAGGCGACTAACGGGATTGGGTGGTCAGTCTCGCTGACTTGGTTGACACATGTCATCGTATCTCAATCGCGTAGATCGATGTTCATGCTGTTGATCACTGGATTGTCTAGTCCAGACTCGATTATTTACAGCCGTCACCTAGCTGGAATATTGCTGAGTGCAGCGTAACACTAAATTCACCCACTCACTTATTGTCATTCACTTACAATATGTTGCTACGTATTTTGTTTCATATCAACAGTCAAAACGCCCTTAGTATACAGGAAAGGACCGGAATGTATACACTCAAAAATAAGACCAAAATAGTGGAAACGTTATGAAAATGTGACTGGGCTAAAAACATTCGCCAAAACACCGCGATCGTAAGTTACAAATCCCACCAGTGATTCCCATATCAAAAACGTCATTATCGAGTAACCATTCCTTGTTTGCCGTGTTTTAAATTATTTGTGGACTGATGTACGGAAATAATATACTGAGGGAAAGAAATAAGGGAACACCTCTTCATCGCAGTATTCCTTTATTTATTCCCAGATTTTCACCCACAGCACAATACACAGTCCTTGCAAGAAACCTGGGGGAAATAAGTGGCCCTTAATTTGTTTCCCTCAGTATATATTTTATGGTTTACACACTAGTGTTATCTTCTCATACCGTCCTTACATGAATGAGTGAGTGAGTGAATATGGTTTTTACGCCACTTTTAGCAATATCTGAGCCCGGGTCTTCGGAACCCGTTAACCACTAGGCTACCCGACGGTCACTCCTCGCAGGAACCACGCTGTTATCACCAGTATAATGCATTGTTATTTACAGACGACATTATGTCACTTAAGTTAAGATGTCTGTTGATAAGTAAGTTTATGTATGTGTTGAACAGGAAATAGTTTGTCATGTTAATTTTCATTGTTTTATAAATATTTGTGAAAACGAATTTAGTTTCTCAGGTCTTTAAAGTACAGTCAGTATAACTACGACATAATTTAGAAACAATTTCCCGATTTCATAAGAGATAACGTTGTTTCTTTACACAGAACAATCACTTGAACGCAAACAAACAGGCAGCAGAACTGTTGTGAAGTGATTTGTTATTCCACGGAAACAACAGGTAAAACAACAGTGAACGTAATAAATAACAACTGCTGTGTCGTTCTAGTTTACTCTGTGTAGATTGTATGTCGAGTTCATTTAATAAACATAAACGTTACTGTCAGCGGTAAACAAACATTTTCTGTATGTTTCAGAGATCGACAGATAAAGAGAGGGGAAGGTGTACCTTTCATAATTGCCTTGCCAGTGCGTACATTGTTGCCATCGTCCCGTTAACGTGTGACGTCTTAAGTTGCAAGCTTTGCATCCTGGGAAATCAGGCTTTACAATAATGCGTGCCGCTCTCTGACTTGTTTAAATGCGATCTCTTTAAAATAACATCTTTGTGGTTGCTACCGATAGTTTGTTAAACGTTAGCGAGAACTGAAATCCGATTTTACAGACATTTGTCTAACAGCATGTCTATATACTATTTCTACCACCGTAATAGTCTGGGCCATAATCAGTGTGTATGAATTATTTTTGTCTCGCTAAAAGTTCTCAGTCGCAAGAATAAAACATGGGGCAAAGATTTTAAATTACGATAATGTTTTAGCATATTACTAAATTATTTAGTGAAGGCAACAACTTGGTCGTTTTGCTGGGGTGGGACTGGGGAGTATCAAGGGGAGGGGAGGGAAAGCCGTGCGTGTTGTAGGTATGTGGAAGAAGGGAGGGGAATATGAGACACTATAGCGAACGAGATCGTCGTTGTATGCAGTTAAAGACAGGTCATTCTTACAACATGAATGAGTGTCAGTTGCCATACCACGCACTCCCTTGGATACAGTCTCTTTTAGGATGAGGTCAGCCCCAGGTAAACCTGGTGGTCAATATAATGAACACAGATGCCAGCCATCGAGGTTTGAACACGTAAATTCAACCCCGGAATGTGTTTCATGTTTTACAACTTTGCGTATATTTTACGGGCGCATCACCTGGCGATTCGGAAGGACTGACTGACTGAGTTTAGTTTTACGCCGCTTTTAGCAATATTCCAGCAATATCACGGCGGGGGACACCAGAAATGGGCTTAACACATTGTGCCCATGTGGGGAATCGAACCCGGGCCTTCGGCGTGACGAGCCAACGCTTTAACCACTAGGCTACCCCACCGCCCCGATTCGGAAGGATATTGGATGGGATAACGTTTGGCACGTGAAATGTATCCAATGAGCCTTCTCAAAGTTGAATAATAAGGTGTCTTACTGCTCAGTGAATGATGGATATCGTCGAGATATCGTGATTGCTGATGATGTTACAGACACATGCACAATTCAACAATTATTGGATCCACACTAGGAAAACAACGAACTTTCTTCCTCTCCAATACAAGGTAAATGATATTTTTGAGGTTCTTCAAACAGTCACAACTGAGGTGTTCATGGTGATATTTGCAAAGTTTATCGATCACTGCATTTTACACTCTGATCACTTGATTAAATGGGCTGAGATTAAATTTCAACATGGCGGCCATGACAGCTATAATTAAATTACAGGATACTCAATGTATGGGAACATACACACAGTAGTGTAGCTTCACAAACTAGTACAGTAAACGATCTGAACCCGTGAAGATCCGAGTGAGAACTGGTCTTCAGCAACCCATGCTTGTCGTAAGGGTCACTGAAGGGATCGGGTGGTCAGGCTCGCTGACCTGGTTGACACATGCCATATAGCTGTAACACGGCTGGGTTAAACAACAAACAAACAAAATCCAATGACCTGTACAGATCGTGGCTGATGACCAACGATCCACGTTGCGGGAGTCCGACCTCACACCAGTTCAGCCTGGTGACACGTCGTCAGCAACACTTCTCTCACAGGCACGGGTGTTCAGGTCTACCCGGAATCACCATGCTATAATTTCGCCCAAATCCATTATTAGTATACATGTATGGTCTTTGATTTAGCGGAAAGGTCACGTTCAAGGTCAAAATGGAGGTCAAAAGTCACAACAACTCATATCACTATACCGCATGTTTGGACACAAACAGATATATTACATACTGAAATATACGGACACGTGAATACATGACTGAAAGACACAGAGACAGAGACAAAGACCATTTACCGACGTATGGTCTCTGGACCAGATGACATTTCAAAATGGACACCGTTGGTATGGTTCTCGGCCTTGACGCATAGGTTCTGTGTAGGCTATTGGCATGATGATCACAAACGACTATGCAATAAAATTAGCTAGACTTTAAAATGAACTAACAAATACATACAAAACCGACAAATTCCGAGATTACACATTAGAACTTCCGCTTACAGCCTGAGCTATGTTCCTCCAGTTGCCTTGAATGTAAAGGTCAAGGACGGAAAAACCGGAAATAAGCGCGGTCACGAAGGCTTCAAGAACCGTCTCAAAGTGCATTACACCATGAGTTGCAATAATGCGTCTATGTATGTATAAACAGCGCCAGCTAACAGAAAGAAGAATCTTTATTTAAAAATATTTCGGGCCAAAGCGAAAACACCCGTTCGGGGAATACATACATTGTGTTGACCGTAATTGTCAATACGTATAGTAGTGTAGTATTTTAGACCAAGGAGTTAAATGTGAATGTTTGGCAGACAAGATCAGTCTGCAAATGGCGGCAACATCCGGCATCTACTGACACTTTCTGTGAAGGTAGGTGTAGCCGTTTTGTGCGGAGAAGGCCTCCGGGACGTCGATGCGGTTGACGTGAGACAAATAGCACGTGGAGCTGAAGCTGTAATCTGCAGACTTGCACTGGAAGGTCGTAGCGTCGACACAACGTTGTTGACACTCCGTCTGCGTCACACTGTTGACGGTCTCCATGGTGAAGCCGACCACGTATTTTCCAGGGTACACGTCGAAGTCGGCTGTCCATTCACATTCTGGAACAATGAACACAGTTCAAGAACCACAAATCAGAGGGTTAGTGAGTTGGATGATGATGGGTTCATCTGACTCGACCTCTTTTAGAAGTGTCCTTATTTCGTTCCGCAGAAATGTATTACATCGGAGTAAAAGATACCCGAATTTATTGATACTGTTACAGAAATAAACCTACAAAATACGGAGCGGGTGACACTCGAGATATGACTTTCTTGGTTCACTTACCACATTTCGGAGAGCACTTTCCCCCAGTCTTGCAAGACGTTTTCGAGTCATGGATACCGATACTCTGAAATCAAAAGCTTACGTTAAGTTTGATAACAAATAATGTGAGACCGCCTCCGTGGTGTAGTGGTCAGAGCGTCCGCCCGGAGAGCGGAAGGTCGCGGGTTCGATCCCCGACAGCGTCATACCAAAAGACATTCAAATATGGTACTTGTTGGTCCCTGACTGGCGCTCGGCATTAATGGGTTCAAGGACTGGTTGGCTCGGAGTCAGTATACTGTGTCTGAGTGGGGTATTCATGCTTCACTGCGGCATGGTATCTCAGTGGGCTAGCACTATAAAACCAGCTTTAGTCTGGGCTAGTACAAGCAGCCGCACATACACATACACACGCATGCACGTCGTCATATGAGCGAAATATTCTCAAACACGACGTTAAACCCAATTTCACCTCACCTCACCTCACAAATAATGTGAAACATTAAGCGGTCGCAGTACCTGTACTATAGTATCAGTTGTTTCAGTCACGCTCAGTACCTTTTGGATGTGAGAGTGAGTGAGTGAGTGAGTGTGGTTGGACGCCGCTTTTAGCAATATTCCAACTAAATCAAGGCGGGGGACACCAGAAATGGGCTTCACACATTGTACCTATGTGAGGAATCGAACCCGGGTCTTCGGCAAACGCTTTAACCACTAGGCTACCTCACCACCCCTGGATACGAGATGTTGGTGTGTGTCATTTTGTGTGAATGGTTGTGTGTGTGCGCACGCGTGGGTGTGCGTGTGTGTCTGTCTGCGTGTGTGTGGTATGTTTTATATTTTTTCTTTCTTGGGTGTGTGCGTGCGGGCTTGTACGTATGTGTGTTAGCGTTTGCAAAACCGACGTGACGTGTATGTAGACGTTTCCACAAAGACACTATTGAACAAATGTATTCTGATAAAGCTAAAAATGTTGTGGTCAGTCAATACGTTTATGCTTTAGTTTCTAGAACAATTCAGGCTCCGCGTTCCATTTTACATATCAAACGTCAAATAAACGGAATCTTTAAATGTTATTATTTCAGAGAATCCACCACTTTGGCGAAACCCATGAATAGTAATGTGAGATTTAAACAGGGCGAATCAGGTTTTGTAACCCTCCTCACCAGATCCTATCATGGCTAGGGGACGCAACTCTGTATACCGGTGCTTTGCGAGGACACTAAATGTACGGCTAGGGCTATCTGTTCAAGCTGCAGTAATCCGATAGTAATGGCGTAAGTAATATTAACCAAACTGATGAAACATTGCCATGGCAACGATCATGCTTGACAAAACAAATGTCACTCGGAGAGTTTTCATTATGAATGGATAAATCAAAACATTAATTTAATGCATGATATATTTCTTTCTAATATACTTGTAGAATGTACACAGAGAACGTATCCATCTCAGTTCTCCCACCCCCGCCGGTTCAGTTTCCACTCAGCCTATCAATCGTTATGTCAACATTTATGGAGTCATGTACAATACATTTTGTGTCCACATTTTGAAGCATCAAAACCGCCTTCGGTTGGATGCACGTTTCCGATATTCAAATTATTATGGAGGAATAATAAACGTGGGTAATAATATCATGCTGATATCACAGTTATTTACCAGCTTGGGTCAAGACAGGGCGATGTATCATGACTGACGCTATTGTATCGGGATACCTTATCGGTCAACTGTGTACATGTGATTTATTCACGTAGTAGGTTATTGGTTAGTCAATTAATGGAGCCACTTTACTAGATATTGATGAAGTGGATACTGTTATTTGACTCTGATTAGCAGTACATTTATAGACAGCTCCTACGTTAACGTGTCGATAATAACAGTGCGGCTGTTTCTCTTGCGCAAGGCTATACACACAAGAGGTCAAGCCGGAGGAGATTTATAACCCAGTCAGGGAATAAGTCATCTTCGTCGATCCAGGGCATTATATATCAATTCAGTTAGGAGTGAGTGAGTTGGGTTTTACGCCGCCTTTAGCAATATTCCAGCAATATCACGGCGGGGGACACCAGAAATGGGCTTCACACATAGTACCCATATGTGGAATCGAACCCGGGTCTTCAGCGTGATGAGCAGACGCTTTAACCATTGGGCTACCCCACCGCCCCATTTAATTTGGTTTATATATGTAAAAGAACTCTTTTTTGGACTTTGTATTTAAAATGGGTATGAATTCAGACTTGATTAAGTCACTATATGAATAGTGCCGATGTGACGTAAAACCCAACTCAACTCAACTCAACTCATTCAATAAGGATACTGAAATGGAAAGATATTGTAGAATTTTATTTTACTCTGCAGTAAGTCTTCGTCAAAACTGCGGAATATTTCTAGCCATAGTTTGTAGTACACAGCCTGATATATACTCATTCTCCATCATAAAAGAATTAGAATTTATCGTACTTATTATTGAATATTTAGCATTCCTCTATCGCCATCTTGAACCTTATGATTGGTATTTAATGGTGTGATCGTAAAATACGTTTCCTTGTTCATGCAAATATATAAGAGTATTTGAGAGTGAATTTAGTTTTACGCCGCACTCAGCAATATTCCAGCTATATGGCGGCGGTCTGTAAATAATCGAGTCTGGACCAGACAATGGTATTAACTCAGTCACATGGAGGTTATATCATTGTGAGTCAAAATCTAACTTCTACAATAGTCAGTCATAACAAGGTGTATCACACTTCACCTTGCACAGTATTTCAGTTGTATGTACAGTACAACCAGAAATTATTGAGAATTTAAAGATTGCAATATTTATAATTTTTTTCACTCATTACTCACGTATTACTGTCAATATTAGCAGAACATAACTCCAGATTCAAAGACAGGTGAACAGTTAGTAGTTTGTCAAGTCACCATGGGCAGCAATGCAGGCTTCAATGCGGCGGGGCATACTACTGATCAAAGAAGTTAGAAAGTCGTGGTCCATGCTGTCCCAATATCGGACCACCTCTTCTTTCATTTCAGCAATATTTGTCAGATTTTCTTATTGACACTTTCCTTCATAAGTCCCCAAACATTTCTATTGGATTTAAGTCAGGGCTATAGCTTGGCCAATCTAATAATGTCATATTTTGGGTCCGAAACCAGGCCTGTGAATGCTTTGAACGATGTTTTGGGTCGTTGTCCTGCTGGAAAATCCAAACATTTCCATAGAACACGTGAGCAGATGGAAGTAAATGTCCCTCGAGAATATCTGTGTACCGCTCACTGTTCATATTCCCTTCAAATACACAGAGGGGCGTTGCCCCCTAACACAGATATGCCACCCCACACGTTAAATTTCGGACTGTACTTTGGGCGCTGGTACAAAGGTTTTTCAGTTTGTTTGGTCCAGAATTTCAGTGTATTAGGAAACAACCACACAGAACTTTCATCTGAGAAAATCACATTGTCCCAGTTAAAATTTCTATGCTGTAAGCACCAGTTCAACCTTCGCTCCTTTTGTTCAGGTTTCATGATCGGTGATGGAATTCCTCGACTTTTCTGCCAACCCATTGCATGCAGCTCAATTCTAATTGTCTCCTTACAGACAGCCACAGTTCCTCTATCAATCATATCCAGCCTTAAGTTTTCTAAACTCCTTCGTTTGTTTTTAGAAACAAGAATACCAAGCCGCCTCCTGTCACCGACAGTCAATTTTCTGGGCCTACCTGCGCCTCCCTGGTGCTCAATGCCATATCCATTTGCAATATTTTTCAAAACAAGATAAACAGTGGACAAAGGGATGCCTGTTCTGCTTGAAATCACTTTAGCTGATCTGATGTCCGTGTTATAATACTCTAAAATCAACTTCCTCTTCTCTAAATCATCCATACTGAGGATCACTGAAAATGTCGTCTGCTAGCAAGTAAACAAAGGGGGATAACTCTTCACAAACTAATGAAAAAGGATTAACGGAGTTGTCTCTGTTGAATGAAACCAAGCACTTGATAGCTGATCAAGGTTGTTTATACTAGAAATCCAATTAAACATATTCCTAAAATTCTCAATAATTTCTGGTCATACTATATGTCGGACGCCACCTAAGTAATTGAGTGAGTGTATTAAAGATATACGTCCCATCAGCAGTATATCAGCCATATAGCGACGAGACCAAGTCTACATACACTTAACCCCTCCTATCTTTATGAATCACTTAAAAACTATCAAAGAAGATATTAATTTACAAGAAAGCTTAAAAACACAGCTTTATGCAAATCACGAAAAACATTCTTAAAGTTCATTCATATTTAGGTGAAATGCATAATTTTTAGAAGAGTCAGATTGTCATATTTTTGACTATGCCGAAATAAACCAATAACAGTGATTTAGATGTCCAAGAGAAAGGTTGAAATAATATTCTGCTTTGAGACAAAACATTTAAAGTCACAATTTTTCAACTAATATTTCAACAACCGTTGTAGAGTGTGTAAAATTGTAAAATAATCATCCCTATGGTTTCAGTCTTGTAAACATTTTTTGACGATTTGCATTAGTGAAAATAAGTAAAACGTGTCTTTGATATTGTGAAAAGGTGTTTAGGAACACCTGAAATTATTTTTCCATTATCTGTTTACACATAGCAATATCAAACGCCAAAAACGTAGCAATATTCAAGCAGTATTTGCATCAATTTATGATTCTATAGGGTATAAAGAGAGACAAGAATGCATGATATGATACACAAGTACGAGAAATATGCCACGATTAACAACTGAAGAGAGAGAAAGAGCCATTGGGATGGTGCAGGTGGGGGTCGACATACAATGCTGTTGACAACGCCCTCGGATGCCACCGTATCACGGTTATGAGACTTTTTCAGCGCCACGGACAGACTGTAGTCACCGTTGACAGACCAAAAAGTGGACCTCCACGCATCACAACGCCAGCTGAAGATAGGTACCTCCGTCACTAAGGACCTTTCTTTTGGCGTTTAGTGTATATACATACACACGTCCATTTTAAGTACAAAGTTAAAAGGAATTTCTTTATATACATATTTCATCACTACAGTAATATGTACCATTAGAAAACATCATAACACCACATTTTAAAACAGGCTCTTTGTCAGAGACATAAGTAGTTACAATTTATGACACTATATTTCAAACTCTACCTCAAATAGCATTCCAGTTATATGATGTCAAGTCAAATTCCACCTAATACAGTAATTAAGTGATATCAATGTTTGTCAAACTTTGCATGACACAGAATATCGGTTGTATCATTCTAAGGGCTAAAAGTCCGAGGTTTGTTATCAGACCGATTCTGAAACTCCAACACACCATAGGCTGATCCTTACACAACTAAAGACCTAAACCACACTTCGCGACTTTAGGCACCTTAGATGACTGGTCCAACCTAGACAGTAATACAAATTCTCCCAATATAAGACAGCAACGTGATTCCTTAAAAACCAAACACAACTTACTGACAGCGTGTCCTCAAATTCGACGTCGTAGTAGGCGAAGTCTGTTGAAGGGATGAGGCTGGCCGTCCTCGCGCAGAGGTAGGTTCCAAGCAGCTCACACTTGTCCGTCTTTCCAAAGTTTAGCGCCTGACACCCTGCTGTCCTGATACATTCCTTTAGACATGCAATCCTCGATCGCGTAATAAGTGTCTTTAGTGGGGCCGAATTCAGCTTTATGTCTTTAAGAGGAATTGCGCGTGCAACCAATTGTCTGGTCATGGCTTCGGCATAGTCTCCATTCATCTTCAAAATTACACAAATTGAGACGAGTGTCAGAAAATTCGACCCCATTTTTAATTAGAATATCACACATAAAGCCAGAATTAGTTTTCAACAAACCATATGATGTCAATACACGCTCTTATCATCACAGACTTCAAATGAGGCAAAATGCGTATTAATACAGCATATTTAAACGCTTGGTAGTTTGTTCAATACATCAATCCATTGTATCGGAAGGTTAAAGGAACTCCCATTTCATGACGGGAAATCAATCAGGGACAACATGTCGTTCCTGGCACTGTTACAGAACAGTCTGCTCGGATCATGCCCCGAGATGGTCCCAGTGAAATCTGGCCCTGCATTTGGATGGTAACGTCATTGCCAGACTGCTGATCGATGGCGAATCAGCATTGTAATCAATGCCGCTTTGTGTGCTCACTAATATATTCTCAGACTGAAGTGGTACATCCAAATAACACTTTATTACAAATCTCTAAAAGCAATATGACTAGAGTGATAATGGAATTGTTCCGCTATTTACTTATGGGGTATGTGACAAAAGGAAGTGTGTGCCTTTTCGAGTGACGGTTATGGCCTCATTAACAATATTCTTATAAAGTTAGTATATTTTAGCGAAGACGGAAAGAATAGTGTTGCCTTTACCAAGGTCAAAAATGACTGAATTTTGTCAGTGTCACGTGGGTGTGTGTTTGTGAACTTCTTTGAGCGTCTGTATTTGAGTGAATCTTTTGAGGTTCGAAATCAACACTCCATTGAACAACTCCCCGGTCGTCATCAATCTTCGGAACAAACCTGAAAGACAAGAAATGTTTTATAAATGTCGACTCTGGGGGAAATACTGACAGTCACCGGTTTGCTTGGTCCAGATTCGCTTATTTACATGACGCCGTGGTGTAGCTGAAATATTGCCGAGTGCGGCAACTTATAACACTCACTCAATTCACTATATGTCCGACCGCCTCCGTGGTGTAGTGGTTAGAGCGTCCGCCCGGAGAGCGCAAGGTCGCGGGTTCGATCCCCGACCGCGTCATACCAAAAGACGTTAAAATATGGTACTTGTTGGTCCCTGACTGGCGCTCGGCATTAATGGGTACAACAAGGACTGGTCGGCTCGGAATCAGTATAATGTGTCTGAGTGGCCTTTCATGCTTCACTGCGGCATGGTATCTCAGTGGGCTAGCACTATAAAACCAGCTTAAGTCTGGGCTAGTACAAGCAACCGCACATACACATACACACGCATGAACGTCGTCATATGAGCGAAATATTCTCAAGCACGACGTTAAACCCAATTTCACCTCACCTCACTATATTCCACGATAGTAACTGACTTGCATATCCATTGTACACTGAAGGGCAAAACAGGGGTACACACTTGAAAATTTGATTTTGATGTTATCGAAACGTGAAAACAGCCGCCGAACCACCCCACGACTTAGGGAATAAAACGAAACTATGTACAAGATACACCATCGAATAACCATTTCTTACCGTGACAATTTTAGCGACCGATCAAACGTGGGTGTATGCGTTGTCCTTCGTGACCTCTCCCGTCAAACTCCGGGTAGAACCGGTCTTCAGTTACCCATGCTTGTCGTAAGGGGCGATTAAGAGGATCGGGTGGTCAGGCTCGCTGACTGGGTTGACACATATCATTGTATCCCAATTGTGTAGATCGATGCTTAGGATGTTGATCACTGGATTGTCTGGTCCAGATTTGATTATTTACAGACCGCCGCCATGGAATATTGCTGAGCGCGGCGTTAAACAACAAACAAACAAACAAACAAACAAAGGGAATGACCTTACACAGATCTTGAAATACAGTTGACACCTTCCTTAGATTTAATACCAAGTCATATGGCTTCGAAACAAACGTATGGGGTGTATAGATTCTTATAGAACACAATATGCCGGTAAAGATACAATTAGGATGATTTGATAAGGCTGCGTCTTCGTAATAGTTTTAACGAGTTAAAAAGGTTTCAACGCCAGTATTCGAAAACTATAGCACGTCAACAAACACTAATTTCCTATCAGTAAGTGGACTTTTTTTCGTGAAATCCCATTGTAATTCCTATTTAAGTTCTTGCCACTATGAAACACCATTGTACTGAGACACCATTACCGTCCGGTTCCGGAAACCGAATTTCCGGATTATCGAGGCAAATTATATAGGCATAGATTGGTAACAAGCTGAAATCGTCCGGGAGGCGAGACATCCGGATTATCGGGGTCCGGACTAACGGGGCTTCACTGTATATCCATGTTAGTTCGACATATCGGACAATGTTCGTGATAACGCCGCCTGTTTGGACATTAATGTGGATTAATCGGCGTGTTGATTGATAAGTCTACAACACAACAGTCACAGGGAGTAATTGGGCTTGAGTGTAGAACCGTTACTTGATCTGTCTGCAATCATTGGGTTATATTTAATACAATGCATGTCCATGAATCACTCACCAACTCTGTTTGCCTTCTGTGTGTTACAGTGGTAGGCTTATTGATTACTGATGATGAGGCTATTGGCAAAACATGTCAGGAATCAGGGTTTTGTGGATGAATATTTGATTTAACATTTTTTTAACAAATTCAACATGAATCTGAATTGCTGTGTTATATTAGGAATTATTGTGCTTGCAATGTACTTCCCGTGGTTAATCCGCGGCAAACTAGATTGTAAGTAACCTGTCTCGCTGTCCATGAACCATATTGTATTTTCCCTTGCGCCCAACCCTTTCCGCAATGCAAAAGCTATAAAATAAAGCAAGTCTAGATTTCCTTAAGTTCTCCCTTCTCACTGGGTCTCTTTTTTCAATTTAAATGGAATTATTTGTTTCTATCAGTATTGTATACATTCAGAGACTAAGCGTCAGTCTAGGTTCTAAGCATCAGTCTAGGGGCGCGGTGGGCGAGCTGGCTAAGGCGCCAGGCTAGTGATCCAGCGAGCTTGAGGTGACGGGATCGAGCCCACCTGTGACCGGGTGTAAAAACCTTGGAGTCAACTTTGTGTGCAGACTCTTTCAGTGTTGTCACAACCCCTAGTGTACAGTACACAACCCTGTGCACTTAAAAGAACCCACGAATCCGTTGGTATTTGACCAGATGGTGGCCACATGAATACGTGCAAACACCTAGTTGCGGGTACAGCAACGTGCAGTGAACATGGACAAAGTACTGTGACTATGTGTCCCAGTCCACCCAGCTGTGAAAGGGTACCTCGTTAGGATGAGAAAGCCACAATAACTCGGTGCGCCTAGTGGCTGCAAGAGTTGTATACTCCCCAGGGAGTTGAGATTGATAATGCGATGTGCCGTTGAGATTGACATCCAAATACTAGTATCGAGGGAAAAAATACCAGCGCCTTGAGCATGCACTAGTACGTGGATATGTGCGCTATATAAATATCCTATAATAATAATAAGTGTTTGTAGTATTACAGACCCTGAAACAAATATATCACACAGCACCTGCAAATCAGTAGCAGTTGGCCAGTCCAGTTACTGCAGTTTCTGACAACCACGATAATCTCTGGATTCATTTCTAATACATGGTATTATTCTACTTTAATCAGTATTATATTTCAAATAGACGATATGATGGTGTTGAAAATGATAAATGGATGATGTATTAATTTCCCATCCCCATAAACATTAATTTTGATTGTGTTGATTTCCAGAGTCTGTGATGTCAATCGATTCCTATTTCGCGGCTATTGATAAAACTGGTGATGAATAGATCAGCCAGTCTAGGCTGGTCATAAAAGGCACTGTTACGACGTAAATTGTAATAAAAACGCAAATTGTAATACTTGCAGCAAATTGTAATAAACTTGACGTAAATTGTAATAAAAACGTAAATTGTATAAAAATTGACGTAAATTGTAATACGCAAATTGTAATAAAAATTGACGTAAATTGTAATAATTTTCGTTGCGGTAAAATGTAATAAATATTTACGTAAATTGTAATAACAGTTTTAATCACTCGTAAATACGCGGGTGTTTGTTTTTCGTTGCATTTCATACATCAAATAAGCTTGTTAGGGCGATAACTCAAGAAAGAAATGATGGATTTTGTTCAAATTTGGTACCAAGGTATATTGGAGAGATTCACCGACACAAGTGAAATGGAGTGACCATGAGATAATTTTCAAGGTCAAAGCAAAAATCTGAGGGTTTTGCCAATATAAAGATTGTTAGCGCGATAACCCAAGAATGAATTGACAAATATTAGCTAAATGACGAAAATGATATTCGTCCTGATATATAATCGATATAAACTGTCCTCTGTATCATGTCTTTTCGCAAATATTTTTTGAGGTTTTGATATGTATACATATAAAGTGGGGGTGGGGTAGGGGTGGGTTTCTAACGGGTATATCTAACATACTTGCATGCATGTAGAGTCGGAGAGGTGGGTGGGTTTTCTAACGGGTATATCTACGAGGGACGTTCAAATAGTAGTCAGCCTCACCTGGAATATGATACAAATACAGCTGTTTTTATGCTTTATTTTTCTACATATTATCTGTCAGCCTCAAGCAAATTGGTTTTGCTATGTTGCAGCCTCACGATCCCCATTTTGTGAGACTTTGTATATTGGCTTGGTACTCCCAAAAAAACGTAAAATCTGCAATAAAATGCATCACAAACTTCAGGAAACAAAATATGCTATGTTTGAGATTGGTAGAAGTCGGCTAGAATCAAACTTAGATATTAAACTGCACAAAAAAGCAATTTCAAAACTACAATCGCTTGTTCAAATGACTTCCCATTCTGTTTACTGAAAGAACTCGAGAAAGAAATGAAGGATTTTGTTCAAATTTGCTACCAAGGTTTATTGACTGTAGATTGGAGATTTACCGACACCACTTGAATTTAGTGACCTTGAGGTCATTTTAAAGGTCACAGCGAAGGTGTAACAGTTTTGCAAATGCCAAGCTTGGTAGCCGCGAACTCAGGAAAGTATTAATAGATTTTGATCCAATTTTATATCAAGGTGTATTGGCGGGATTCCCCCAACAACAATTTATTGTGGAAACTTGTGCTCATTTTAAGTTCACAGTGAAAAGTGTTTTGCACATTAGTGACCTTGAGGTCATTTAAAGGTCACAGCGAAGGTGTAACAGTTTTGCAAATGCGAAGCTTGGTAGCCGCGAACTCAGGAAAGTATTAATAGATTTTGATCCAATTTTATATCAAGGTGTATTGGCGGGATTCCCCCAACAACAAACTTGTGCTCATTTTAAGTTCACAGTGAAAAGTGTTTTGCACATGTCTAACTTTTTAGTGCGAAAATACAAGACAGAATTAATATGTTTTGCTTAAAGGTAGCACCAAGA